TGTTAGCCAGGATGGTCTCGATCTCCTGACCTCGTGATCCGCCCGTCTCGGCCTCCCAAAGTGCTGGGATTACAGGCTTGAGCCACCGCGCCCGGCGATGCTGTCTTTATACTACTTTCTAGTGCAAAGAATATTGACAGGTGACTGCTTCTACCTATGTGATCCCCCTTGTAAGATCTTGCTTTATAAACTAAAAAGCATCCCCAAATACAAAGACCTACTTATGACTCTAATAAATGCACATTGAAGCCCAATGGTGTGGTGGATGTCATCTACATCTGCTTGCTTTTGGGAATTTTTTTTTTTTTTTTGAGACGGAGTCTCGCTCTACTACCCAGGCTGGAGGGCAGTGGCGCGATCTCGGCTCACTGCAAGCTCCACTTCCCAAGTTCGCGCCGTTCTCCTGCCTCAGCCTCCCGAGTAGCTGGGAGTACAGGCGCCGCCACCACGCCCGGCTAATTTTTTGTATTTTTAGTAGAGACGGGGTTTCACCATGTTAGCCAGGATGGTCTGATCTCCTGACCTCGTGATCCGCCCGCCTCGGCCTCCCAAAGTGCTGGGATTACAGGCCTGAACCACTGCGCCCGGCCGGGACTTCTTTTAAATTGAAAATTAATCTGCTCTTCACTACCTGGAAAAAGAAAACAATATACATGAATAAAGTCAACAACAACAAAATTCTGGAATTAAAACATTATACTGAGTCCCGAGAAAGAAACAAAAGTAAATGAGAAGTTAGGGTAGATGGAGTAAAAACACTTTTCCCTATTCATCCCGGTAGGTACACCTAAAAGCACTGTATATTATGTGTAAAACAAACATAAAACTCTGAAACAAGGAGAGAAGGCAGAATAGCCAGAGACTGCAGGACCTGACGAATGGCACGGGGGTGAGTTCCCGCGTTTACTTTTTGCCTCAGATATTCGAGACATGCAGCTAAGAAGTCAGTAACATGGAAACACCAGTGGGTACAGACCCAAAAAAATCCCAACAAAAGCCCAAGGACCAGGGGAAGGGCTGCCTAAAAAGACAAAAGTTTTAGAGAAGAACCACTCTACTCAAGCTTAACACTAAGGAAAAAATGTGGTCCCATCTCTACCCACACCAGCATGAGCCAAGGACACAGCCTGGCAGGCTTCTGCTGCAAGAGAAAGAAAGGAGGTGACATGGAGCTCCCCCTCCTCCCTCTGAGGTGGTGTCAGAGGAGGCCAAGTAGAGTCAAGACTCTCACCATCTCTCTGCAATAAAGAGGACACGCCAATGCGGTGTCTGTGGAGACCGTGTGAAGAGCCAAAACTACCAGCTTCACCAGCAGTAACGAGGAGTCCCTACTCCCAGGTGTCAAGGAAAGCTAAGTGGGACCTGAACTTCTACCTTCACTGGCAGGAAGGAGACAATGCCCTGGTTCCCTCGCCACGGCAGTGCCAGGGAAAGAAAACCAAACTAAAGAGTTTAATGAGATCTAGAGTCTCATAATATGAGTGAGTCCAGTTTCAAATGAAAATAGCTAATCACACCAATACACCAAGATACCAAATGCAAACGATAAACAGCTTCCAACCCTGAGATGACAGAAACAGAATTACCCAACCAAGACAAAGGAATCATGACAAAAATGCTTCAATGAGAAATTACAAACGTGCTTCAAATAATAAAAAAAAAAAGCCAGGAAGACTGAGCAAAGAAAAAGAAGGTTCAGGCAAATAAAACATTTAAAACCAAATGGAAATGTTAGAATTGAAAATAAAATAAATGAAGGCTAGGCATGGTGGCTCATGCCTGTAATCTCAGCACTTTGGAGGCTGAGGCAGGAGGATCACGTGAGGCCAGGAGTTCGAGACCAGCCTTGTTAATACAGCAAAACCTCGTCTCTACAACCAAACAAACCAAACTAGCCATGCACGGTGGCGCGTGCCTGTGGCCCCAGCTGCTTGGGAGGCTGAGGTGGGAGGGCTGCTTGAGCCTGGGAGGTCAAGGCTGCAGTGAGCCAAAGACAGTGCCACTGCACTCCAGGCCAAGACCCGAGCTCCTGGTTGACTGACTGACTGATCAGAACACAGACCAACAACAATAAAAAGAACAAAGTCTCTGGGACTTGCGGGACTATAACAAAGGATCTAACATTCATGTCATCAGAGGCTTGGATGCTGAGGACACAAAGGACAGGGCTGAAAAAGTACTCAAAGAAATAATGGCTGAAGATTCTCACAATATGGCAATAAATATAAACCAACAGATTCAAGAAGCACAGTGAACCCCTAAACAGGGAAAACCCAAAGGAATCCACAGCAAGACACATCATAATTAAACTTCTGAAAACTAAAGACAAAGAAAAAACATCTTGAAAGCAGCCGGAGAACAATAACACCTTACCTGCAGGAGAAAAACAAATCTGACTGACAACAGATTTCTCATCATAAGTCATGGAGACCAGAGGAAGTAGCAAAATATTTTTCAAGTGTTGAAAGAACTGTCAAACCCAGAATCTTATATCCAGTGAAAATATCCTTCAGGAATGAAGGGGAAATAAAGACAATCTCAGATCACAAAAAAACTAAGAATCTGTTGCCAGCAGATCTACCCAAAGGGAACCACTAAAAAAATTTCTCTAAATACAAAGGAAATGATAAAAGAAGGACTTTGGAACATTAGGAAAGAAAACAATATAGGTAAACAAAAAAACATGGGCAAATACGAGATTTCCTTAAGTTTTCTAAGTCATGTTTGACAGTTTAAAAAACTCTGGCCCAACACGGTGGCTCACACCTGTA